TGTGGAGTCTCATTCATTTTCAGTCCAATTAAGTCTTACCATATCATTTCTCTCTCTATTGTAATCTTTCTCACATCCAACTGTAAAATTATTATTAGTTTTTAAAAAATGTTTCATTTATGTTTTAAGAGATGAGGTCTTGCTGTGTTGCCCAAACTGGCCTCAAACGTCTTGCCTTCAAGTGATCCTTCTGCGTCAGCTTCCCAAAGTGCCTGCGCCCAGCTGATTTTTAATTAATTTTTTTTTTTTTTTGAGTTGGAGTCTCACTCTGTCGCCCATACTGGAGTGCGGTGGCCGCTCCCAGCCACAGCAGCCTCGACCTGCTGGGCTCCAGCGATCCTTCCACCTCAGCCTTCCGAGTAGTTGGAATTACAGGCGTGCGCTACCAGGCCCGGCTGATTTTTGATTTATTGTAGAGATGAGGTCTCGCTGCCCAGGCGGGTCTCAAACCCACGGGCTCAGGCAATTCACTCACCTCAGCCTTTTTAATTAATTTATTCTCTAAAAGTTTTAGTTGTGGTAAAATATATATGACATAAAATTTACCATCTTAGTCATTTTTAAGTGTATAGGTCAATAGTGTTAAGAATATTCATATTCTTATACAACTAATATCCAAAATTTTTTATCTTGCAAAACCAAAACCCTGTACTTATTAAATAACTCCTCATTCCCCTCTTCCTTCTTCCCCTGGCAACCACCATTTTTACTTTGTGTTTCTATGAGTTTGACTGCTCTTATATACCTCATATAAGTGGACTCATGCAGTATTTGTCCCTTTGTGACTGACTGACTTTATGTAATATAATATCTTTAGTGTTCATCTATATTGTAGTATGTGACAGGATTTCTTTCTTTTAAGGTGAAATAATTAAATGTATATCCACATTTTGTTTATCCATTCATCCATCGATGCATATTTGGGTTGTTTCTACCTTTTGGTTATTGTGAATGATGCTACTATAAACATGAGTGTATAAATGTCTCATAAAATTCTTCTTCTTCCTCCTCCTCCTCTTTCCCCCTCTCTTTTCTCCCTCCCTCCCTTTCCCTGCCTTCCTCGTCCCTCCTCCCTCCTTCTTCTTCTTCTTCTTCTTGTCAGAGTCTCACTCTTTTTTTTTTGAGTTGCAGTTTCACTCTGTCGCCCAGACTGGAGGGCAGTGGCACACTCCCGGCCACTGCAGCCTCGACCTGCTGGGCTCCGGTGATCCTTGCGCCTCAGCCTTCCAAGTAACTGGAACTACAGGCGCGCACTACCACGCCCAGCTAAATTTTTTGATTTATTGTAGAGATGAGGTCTTGTCAAGTTGCCCAGGCAGGTCTCGAACCCACGGGCTCAGGCAATTCACTCACCTCAGCCTCCCAAAGTGCGGGATTACAGACTGAGCCACCGAGCCCAGTGGGAGTTTCACTCTTTCACCCAGGCTGGAGGGTAGTGGCATACTCCCAGCCACCGGAGCCTTGACCTGCTGGGCTAAGGTGATCCTTCCACCTCAGCCTTCCATGTAGCTGGAACTACTGGCACACGCCACCACACCTGGCTGGTTTTCTTTATTTACTGTAGAGATGAGATCTCAACAAGTTGCCCAGGCTGGTCTCAAACTTGTGGGCTCAGGCAATCCTCTCACCTCAGCCTCCCAAAGTACTGGGATTATAGGCGTGAGCTATCATGCCTGGCCAAAATTATTATTATATATTTTTAGAGATAGGGTCTCACTCTGTCACCCAGGCTGGAGTGTAGTGATAGCTCACTGGAGCCTCAAACTCCTGGTCTGAAGTGATCCTCCTGCCTCAGCTTCTCATACAATTGGGACTACAGGAATGTGCCACCATGCCTGGCTAATTCTTAAAATTTTTGTAGAGACAGGATTTTGATATGTTGTCTAGGCTAGTCTCAGACTCCTGGCCTCAAGCCAGCCTCCCAAAATGTTAGGATTATAGTCATGAGCCACCATGCCCTGAGAAATGATTTTTTAAATTTATTGTTTTGATCATGTTGCTCTCCTGTTGAGAATTCTTAATTGAGTCCATGTTACTTACCAATTAATATCCAGACTTGCCGGGCTCGGTGGCTCAGCCTGTAATCCCAGCACTTTGGGAGGCCAAGGTGTTTGGAACCTTGAAGCCAGGAGTTTGAGATCAGGCTGAGCAACACCCCTTCTCTACAAAAAATAAAAATTAGCCAGGCATGGTGGCACATGCCTATATGTCCAGCTACTCAGGAGGCTGAAGCAGGAGGATCGCTTGAGCTCAGGAGTTCAAGGCTGCAGTGAGCCATGATTATGCCACTGCACTCCAAATTGGGCAACAGACCCATCTTAAAATACATATATATATTTATTTATTTATATCTCGCTGGATTTAACCTGCTATTCAAGATCCTCTAAATTGTGATTCTAAACTACCTCTCACTATATTTAACTATAGAATAGGTAGGAACTCAAAACTCAGGAGAAGTATATATAAAACAAAAGCAAATAGCTTATGTCTTGCTAAGTAAAGATTTTCCTCTGAGTAATATGAACTTTCAAGTACGGACTTTCTTAAGTGATTTGGCTGTTCATAGCTCTTACTTTATGTTTTGGCTATTTTCTAGAACTTTTGTCCTATTTGGCTATTGCCCTAGAACTTTGAAGACTTATAAAAGATGAATAGACTGGAAAGTAGGCCTGGAGGTAGCTAGATGGGTAACTCCAGTGGGAGAGCAGATGAGTGGATGAGTAAATTTTCTCATAGTATAACAGTAGCTTGGTAAGTATGCCCCAGAAGTTTAGAGGTTTCCATTGTAGTTCTGATTTACCACTACCACCTTGGGAAGGCAAGAACTTCATAGCTGTCATAGCAGTCCTTTATAGCACTTTTTGTAACTTGAAATTGTGCTTCATTAATTGTTCATTTTCTACCTTCCCCATTAGACTGTAGGCTCAGTGAGGGTAGAAACTGGCTTTTAAAAAAAAAATTTATCACTGTATCTCCAGCACCAGTGTCTAGCATGGTTTCTGGCATATAGTAGATGTTCATAAATGTTTATTTAAGAAAGGATAGGAGTCAGGCACAATGGCACATACCTGTAATTCCAGCTACTTGAGAGACTGAAGTGAAAGAATTCTTTGAGCCCAGGAGTTCAAATCCAGCTTAGGCAACATAGTGAGACCCTATCTCTTTAGAAAAAAGAAAGAAAAGGGGACAGGGAGGAAAGGGGGAAAAAAGAAAAAGAAGAAAGAAAGAAAGGATAGAATGACCAGAGTTCAAATGAGAATGAATATTTGACATATAAAATATGACAAATTAAAATACTTGGAATTGTTTTTTTCTTATTGTTGTTGTTTTTTGAGTTGGAATCTTACTCTGTCACTCAGGCTGGAGTGCAGTGGCATGCTCATGGCCACCACAGCCTCGACCTGCTGGGCTCAGGCAATCCTTCTGCCTTAGCCTTCCAAGTAACTGGAACTACAGACACGCACCACCATGCCCAGCTAATTTTTTGATTTATTGTAGAGATGAGCTCTCCAAGTTGCCCAGGCTGGTCTCGAACCCACAGGCTCAGGCAATCCTCTCACCTCAGCCTCCCAAAGTACTGGGATTATAGGGGTGAGCCACCACGCCTGGCCAATATTTGGATTTATAAAGGGTTTGGAAATGGTGACAAAATAGAAGGACTCAAACTTCAAAGCAGAAATGCTAATATACATGTAAATTGCCTATTTTTGACAAGTGATACAGAATCTGACGACAGTGCTTCAAGGCAGCAAAAATTGTCTTCAGAAAATAAAGAAAAACCTCTCCTTGGCCAATGGCCATTTGTAGCCTATCATATGAAAACTCCTAATACTTTTTGTTTTCCATTTTGAAAGATATATGTGTTCACGCTTAGAACACAGCAGTGTGTACATGTTAATCATTTATTATTTGACTCTTTAACTTATCTTGGCAAAAACTTTGATCAAATAACAAAACAGTACCCAATAAATTGCTTTATAAGGAATTTGTTCAACGTACATTTTAAAAATTCTGGCTAGCCGGGCTCGGTGGCTCAGCCTATAATCCCACGTCTTGGGAGGCTGAGGTGAGTGGATTGTCTGAGCCCGCGGGTTCGAGACCCGCCTGGGCAA